TGTTGTTCCCAAACTCTTCCATTTTGTTATGATAAAGCTGACAGTTGACTGTGGAATATTTAGGAGCGAGGAAATTTCACGACTGGATTTGTTGCACAGGTGGCATCCTATGACAGTTCCACGCTGGAATTCACTGAGCTCCTGAGAGCGGCCCATTCTTTCACAAATGTTTGTAAAAACAGTCTGCATGCCTAAGTGCATGATTTTATACACCTGTGGCCAGGCCAAGTGATTAGGACACCTGATTCTGATCATTTGGATGGGTGACCGAATACTTTTGGTAATATAGTGTATATATATATATATATATATATATATATATATATATATATATATATATATATATAGATAGATAGATAGATAGATAGATAGATAGACAGATACACACACACCCTATTACTATGCCCTAGGAACACTGGAAAACACTGAACAGTGATGCTGGAAAAAGAATACACACCAATCAGCCATAACATTAAAACCAGTGACAAGTGACGTGAATAACATTGTTTATCTCGTTACAATGGCACCTGTCAAGGGGTGGAATATATTAGACAGCAAGTGAACAGTCAGTTCTTGAAGTTTATGTGTTGGAAGCATGCGTGGGCAAGCTTAAGGATCTGAGCGACTTTGACAAGGGCCAAATTGTGATGGCTAGACAACTGGGTCAGAGCATCTCCAAAACGGCAGGTCTTGTGGGGTGTTCCTGGCAACAGGGTCAAGTTGATGTGCATGGGGAGTGAAGGCTGGTTTGATCCCACAGAAGAGCTACTGTAGCACAAATTGCTGAAAAAGTTAATTCTAGCTATGATAGAAATGTGTCAGAACACACACAGCTTTCTGCGTATAGGGCTGCATAGTTGCAGACCGGTCAGAGTGCCCATGTCGACCCCACCACCAAAAGCGCCTACAATGGGCTAATTTCAGGTCTTTTTGAGCATGTTTGAGTCATGTTTAGGGTGGGAATATTGCTGAAACCTGGCAACATTCCCCACAAGCTTCCACAAGCTGTTCTTTCCACTAAACATTGATGTAAAAACCTTGCCGTCGTGTGGTTTTTTTTTTCACCCAGATCTCAGTCCCTGAAGCTGGCAAGCTTTCAAAAATAATGCTCCATCTACATTTATGGCATTTGGCAGATGCCCTTATCCAGAGCGACTTACAATTATCTCATTTATACAACTGAGTAGTTGAGGGTTAAGGGCCTTGCTCAAGGGCCCAGCAGTAGCAGCTTGGCGGTGCTGGGATTTGAACTCACAACCTTACGAGTAGAAGTCCAACATCATAACCACTGAGCTAACACTTCCCAGCTCATCTAGTTTTCATAACTGTATTCATTGTCCTATATCTATTCAATATGAATAATGTATTCATATTTGGTTACACCCCTAATATGTACACACACACACCCACAGAGCCTTTATGGATGTATTTTCCATCAATCACAAAATAATGGTTTGTTACTTTTGGTGTGTGTATTTATACATAATGCTGCTCATGCTAATTCATAGGGCATGACTTCACAGACCACCACAACTGTCTAGTTTTATTGTGATTGACAGGGGAGAGCACAGCCAATTTTGCCTTCTTGGTCTTCTGGCCACAAATCATTGGGATTTGAACTTAAGATCTTATGAGAATATGGCTAACATTTTTTTTTTTTGGTGCCACTCGGGAGCCTACAACCTGTATTGTGTTTTCAGATGTGTGTATTTTTATCCAGTCCTATTTGTGTCCTTCATTGTGTTTTTTCTGTATTTTAGCTTATGGAGCCAACAGTAATGTGGTTATTAGCTATCCAGCTGTTAAGCAACATAAGTAATATTCCAAGTAGTCAATTAGATATTACTGACATGAAAAACTTCTGTTACATTCTATGTTTAGTAATGAAACCATAAGGCTTTGTTTGGTTTGATGCATGTGCATCTTCACTGAGGACTGCAGCAATGCCCTTTAAGACATCTTACAAATATAATGAGCACTTAAATTTTTTATGAAGCCATTTTTATAGTCACGTAAGGTTCAGTTTATAGGCAGTTCAATTACTTTATTGTCCTTAGGTTTGATTCAGGTCTATTAACAAACAATGAAGCAATTCAAATAAAAGAAAGAACTAAAGTTTATACCATGGGTGGCAGTGCAACTCCTGAAATGGTGCATACCAGCTGAACCACACAGCCGTAACAGATATAACTCTCACACACAGAGTAATCACTGCGGTCAGTCTGCTGATCCTCCACTTCAGAGAGAGAGAGAGAGAAAGAAAGAAGAAGATCAGTGTTGACCTGCAGACCACTGCAAAATATTACAAAATACATCACATTTTTTTTTACATATTACATATTAGGGGTTAGAAGGCCAATATGGTCATATTTCTTGGAAATATTTTCAGACTTCTGAAACTTTTTAATTATAGCCCTGATGATGTTTAATGGTATTTTATAATTTTTTTAAAATCCATTATCAGACATGGGTACATCTCTCTCATCTCTCTCTTTTGTGTTGAAGTCTCTTTGGTTTCTCTTGTTCACATGCAACGAGTGGTTGTCACATAGTAGTGCCACATAAGTTTGTTAATGGAACAATAAGTAGTTTCTCCAACTGTCTGAGTCAATAATATGAATTATTGTGTGCATGCTGTGCTGAGAATTTTCCACCATACTATACTATACTATACTATACTATACTATACTATACTATATAGCCAATGAGTGCATCTCCAAATCACCAGTGAGTGCATGGAAAGAGAGAAAGAGAGAACATCTTTCAGACCTAGAATGACAGTAAAAGCAGTCCATTGTCTGGCACTAGCCACGAAAGCTCCACCCTCCACTGCAAGGTAACGCGTACTGACTGTCTGAGACCTCAGGCGATTAAACAATGACACTCTTGAACCAGATGAGATGCACACTGAAAACACACATAGAGGCATAAGCAAAGTTAAACATACTGACACACAGGCACATGCCAACAGCAATGACTGACACACCATAGCCAAAGTCAACCTGCTGTTCTATTGGTCACAAATTCACCTCATTGTGTCTCTTTCCCACCAGAAGGTGAGGAATTCAACGTCACTTCGCCATCACTGAGATATTTACAGCACTTCTTTGTTTTCCTGAGATCTTCTTGCAGGACAAGACTGCCAATGTCAATAGAAAATGCCCTTAACCGTATGTTTTAGGATCAAATGGCCAAAGGTCAAATGCTTCACTTCTTTGGGTGCTGGATAGGGTTCTACAACTGCCCTTTACTGAACATGGTCCCAGGACTTGGAGTTACAGTAACATTCACATAGTATATAGACAAGTAAGCATTATGTATAGAGGAAAAAAATAAGATAAGACAAGCGTTCATGGGCAGTAATAATTAAACAGCATGTGGACAAAATACCAATCACTCATTCACTCACTTTCAGTAACCACTTTAACCTTGTCAGTGTTGTGGTGGATCTGGAGCCTTGGATGGGATGCCAGTTCATTGCATGGCAATGAAATTATTAAATAGATATTTAAGTTCCAAAAACGCTATACTCTCTGGGAGGTGCCAGGGTCAATCAGTTGTAAGAATATTTAAGATAGTAAAACGTTTTGCTTAGGTTATGAAGTTAGTGATGCCTATATTCTGATTTCAGTGAGGTCAGGGATGTGTAAAATCTGCAGGTCATTTTAGCTTAAGTTATTTATTGCTTATTAACAGAAAGATATCCTTCCCCACTAAGAGTGAGGTTGAGATTATCGCTTTTTGGAAATAGGAACAAGTCAGTGAAAACAGATGTGTGAAAATACATTATTTCTAGGCAGGCCAGGCCTGCTATGATAGTAGTCCAGAAATCTCAGTTATTGTTCTCACTTCCACACCATTGTAGATGTGGTCTGAGCCTAGTCTCAGTCATTTGATACACTCTAGCACACACTCACAAACTGACTCACAATCTGCGTTCTTCATGGATTGTCTTTTCTGTGATGGTTTGGAGATGACTTTAATAAGTCCACTTTGGAAAGAGCCGATCTCCTGCCCTCCACTGTGGAACAGACGAAGCAGCAAACGGAAGTGTTTCCGCTTATCTGTATCTGAGATATACAGGGTTTTGGCACAGGCGAACATCTAAAAATATGATTTAAAAAAAAAAAGAAAATTTAATTAAGGAAAACATCGGTCAAGCAATATACATTTCCCACAAGTAAATTTATTTATTAATTAATTCATTAAAATATCAGGCCTATGCAGGGTGGTCCTGGAATAGTGAACTCAATATTTACTAAAGTAGAAAAGATACATTTTTCACTAGCATTATGAATCATGCCAGAAACCTAACTAAGGAGGCATCTTGAGAATGGAGACACAGTTAAGAGAGGAACAAGGACAGAACAGAGATAGAGACCCTGGCTGAGTGGCACTCCAATTTGTTTCAGAAAGCACAAGTTAAATATTAGTTGAACCTTTCCTGATTTCCAAGTTGGTTTGTGACGGCACACTCAGTAAATGGTAAATAGTTTACTCTACAGAGGGTTTTGGTATTTGACAAAGGTCAAATATAGTCAAATATGATAAAGACTGGGTTGGTAGACAAAAACAAAGTGTCTAAAATTATCAGAACATAAGTGAATCTGCATGGAAGCAAATTACATATCGACAGAGTGCATCATGTCATTCAACAAAAGTAAGTGAGTTGCCTTTAGGAGCTGTTTTGTTTAACATTGCCATATTTCAATTAACACCTACGAAGAATCATCAGTGAAATGCAAACACAATAAAAAGTAAGTGAAGTGGGTTTAAAGAGGTCATTTGAACTAGTTCCTTCAATATAGCTGTTCCTTCATTACAGGTATTTTCCTAGCTGGAGCGCCAGTTCAATTTATGTCAATCTATATCGCTCAGCTTGGGTCTGATGTATTCTTGTACCCTTCTTTCTGTTTGTTCTTCAAAGCTCAGCTTGAAGTTGTCTGCTTGTGTCCCAGGGGAGCCATCCAGACCCATATACCCCCACACACGACAACTAGACTCACCGAGACCTGATGCTTGTGAGAGAGGTCATAGTTATGTAATCATGTAAAAGTCCATTCTTGGTCTATAATACAGTATTGCTCAATTAAATGCATTTCAGTTATGATCTAAGTGTATTAATATTGTAATCATGATTAAACCACAGAAATGACTGGCTCACATACCTTTGAGATGTTCTTGTCTGAGATTCCATCCAGCTCCACAGAGGTACACACAAGGAGGAGGACAGAAAAATCTGTTTGCACAGACACCAAATTGCTAAACACCAAAATTAAATACTTTCTTGCACTTGACCTTAGCTGACAGGGGTTACAATTATAAAATAACACACATACCTGACATGAATTTTTATCTTTCCTGTATTTTTGTTACTGCTCACTAAAACCCAATCATAAACAGTAGCTGCGTTTACATGGACACTAATAATCCGATCGTAATTGGACTAGAAGCACAATCAGATTTAAAAAGTCACATGTAAACACGTCAATCGGAATGAATTGCCCAAAACCGATTAAAATTTCATTCGGATCGTAAGGGGTGGTTTAAACCTTTTCTAATCCGATGGAGAGGACATGTAAACACTTCATCGGATTGAAAATGAAACCAGATAGTTCTGCGCATGTGCAATGACGTATAAATCACGTAATGACGTATGATGCACGGCTGTCAGCGGTACTGGGGCTCTGACTGTAGCCTCCCCAGGTGCCATGTAACCCTCCACCATTGAGCATAGTGTCATAAAT